TTTATCTGCAAATTGCCATTGTTTCCACCCACTAGTGGTGTATCATGCACATCTTTTTGGTTCAGCTGGATCATTATTTTTAACAGCTGCAGAGTATCCTTTTGCATAACTCTATCATAATGTAGTTATTAAATCTCCTACTGGTAATTAGTTTTTTTCTTCATTTTTCTATTACAAACAATACTGCAATAAAAATGTTGTGCCCGTGTCTATGTGCACACACATGAAGATTGCTATAGGATGAAATCCTAGAAGTGGAGTTGCTAAATTGATGGTATGTGCATTTAAATAACTGAGAGATATTGCCAAGTTGCCTTCCAACAATATTGTATCAGTTTATACCAAAAAGCGTCTGAGTGCCCATGGAAGAAAAAGGTTTGTAAAATAAATTTTCAGCAAAGAGAGTAAAGAAATTTGGAATGTAATTTAGGGTGTGAGGTACCCCACTTGCTTTCATTCCTCTGATCTCTCCTCCTTGGGCACTACTCTGCTGGGCAAAGAGAGTAGGAGCATATTGTGACATGTTGGTCCTTGCTCAGGAAGGAAGCCACGGCCCAGGGACCACTCTCTCAGACAAGCAGAAACTAAAGGAAGGAGACACAAGTTAAGACGCCTGGGCTGGTGCCTCAGCACAGCCCTGAGGCCTGCCAGCACTGTGGCTGACACAGCTCTGCTGAAATCTAATATCTTGTTTCTTTTTCCTTCTGTAACTAATGAGCAGGATGACAAATACTGGGCAAGGCGCAGAAAGAACAACATGGCGGCCAAGCGCTCCCGTGATGCCCGGCGGCTGAAGGAGAATCAGATTGCCATCCGGGCGTCGTTCCTTGAGAAGGAAAACTCGGCCCTCCGCCAGGAGGTGGCTGACTTGCGAAAGGAGCTGGGCAAATGCAAGAACATACTTGCCAAGTACGAGGCCAGGCACGGGCCCCTGTAGGATGGCATTTTTGTGGGCTGGCTTTTGAATAGATGGACCGTTTGTTTCCTGTCTGATAGCACCACACCTGAAGCAACCTTTCTGACATCAGCACTTTACCAGAGGCATAAACACAACTGACTCACATTTTGGTGTGTATGTGTGTGCATAGATGTGCTTGTGCTCATGTGTGTGGTCAGCGGTGTGTGTGCGTGCGCGCGCGCGCGTGCGTTCCTTTGCACTTGCCATTTTAAGATAGCCCTCTCATCATCTTTTAGTTCCAAAAAAGAAAGGTGCCATGTTTTTACTGGACTACGGAGACCTCTCGTGGGTTTCCCTGCCCCTCTCTTCACTCCTGCCCTCTCCTCGTTGCTTCATGTTCGCTCTGACGTCCTCTTCCAGGACCCTCTGCTTGGATTCGCTAAGAAGGGCCCTGGTAAAATAGTAGATCTCAGTTTTCAAGACTACGAGCTCTTGTTTCTGTTTAATCTGTAAGTTACCGTGCTAATAAGGTGCACAAAATTACTTAGCACTACACTGCAGTTCTCTTCGATTATAGGTTGCTTCCCTCATATTTTTGGTTTTGGTGATAATTGTCTTCAAATTTAAAGTGCTGTTTAGATTTATTAGATCCCATATTTACTTACTATCTACTAAGTTTCCTTTTAATTCTACCGACCCCAGGTAAGAGTACTATTATAGAACACAGAGTGTGTTTTTGCACTGTCTGTACCTAAAGCAATAATCCTATTGTACGCTAGAGCATGCTGCCTGAGTATTACTAGTGGACGTAGGATATTTTCCCTACCTAAGAATTTCACTGTCTTTTAAAAAACAAAAATTATGGTAATGCATTTGAGCATGCCCAGAACATCCCCAGGACAGGGAAGCAGAGGGAAATGCCGGGTCTAAGAACGAGGGGTTAATTTATCAGTAGATGAGCCAAAAATAATGCATCTTGGAAGAGCTTTTGACATTGGTATGTTTGGTTTTGTTCTCTCCCCCTCCCATACCCCCAGCCCCTACTTTTCTAGTTAACTTTTTCCATATCCCTCTTGATATTCAAAACAATTCAATTACTTAAGATTCAGTTTTCCCCATTTTTTGTAATATATATATTTTTGTGAATTATACCTTGCTGTTTTTAAAAATCAGTTAATTAAGTTAAGAAGCTGATGTTTTGTAAGACCCTTTTTCCTAGTGGTGTCATTTTTGAATGCTTCATAAATTAATGATCCTAGAGCTTACGTTTCTTATTCTCTGTTTGCTTTTGAACGTATGTGCTCTTATAAAGTGGACTTCTGAAAAATGAATGTAAAAGACACTGGTGTATCTTGGAAGGGGATGGTGTTGTCACAAACTGTGGTTAATCCAATCAATTTAAATGTTTACTATAGACCAAAAGGAGAGATTATGAAATTGTTTAATGTTTATACAGAGTAATTATAGGAAGTTCTTTTTTTTGTACAGTATTTTTCAGATATAAATACTGACAATGTATTTTGGAAGACATATATTATATATAGCAAAGAGACAAGGAAAACTATTCCATGTTTTAAAATTATATAGCAAAGATATATATTCATCAATGTTGTACAGAGAAGAAGCGCTTGGGGGTTTTTGAAATCTTTAATCTTTTACGCCTATCACTGACACATCAGCATGTTTTCTGCTTTAAATTAAAATTTTATGGTGATATCAAGGCTTGCTGTGACGAGTCCTGCTCTTAAATATATAAAAGGAGCTTTCTTGTTTCCTATTAGGTCTCAGAAAGAAGTCAGTTAATGTCACCCAAAAGCACAAAATGGATGTTAGTCAAATATTTATTGGATGATACTGTGTTTTTTAGGAAAAGCATCTGCCACAAAAATGTTCAGTTCACAATTATGAGTTCCTGGAATGGAATATCAGCAAAAGCACCCCAAACCATTCTGTTCTCCCCGATGGGCACGTGCGTCTTATGCAGTGTAAGATTGATGTCAGTGCTATGTGTATGGTTTATAATTTGATAGATGTTTTGACTTTAAAGATGATTGTTGATTTGTTTCACTAAGTTGTATAATGTCAAGAGATTCTGCTGTTATTGCAAAGAAACATTTTGTGTTAGATTAAAACACCCTTTCCTTGATGGGATTTTCTAGTTTCCTGCCTCCAGAGTACCTAATTCTTTAACGACCTTGGGGTCTCCTTGTCAGTCCATCACAATGCTTCTCTCATAGCGTCATAGTCTTGGAAAACCTGACGAATGGGATATTCCTACTAGGTATCCATTTGTCCTAAGCTGTAGATTGCAGTGGGAGACGGGAGAGTATTGGAATGAAATACATTGTGTAGGGAAATAAGTAATAAAACAAACAAAACTGTTTGCAGTGTTAAGCAGAACTGAATAAGTGATATTCAGAAAGGAACACAAGTGGACACAGAGTTGGTTTTTTTATAGATAAAGAGGCTAATTGCAGCAGAATTATTAAAGGGCAGTAGTGACTAAAACAGAGACAGATGATACCTTTGAGTGGAGAAGTGTTGAAGGATTGCATCCAGAATCATTTAAGTATAAAATGGTAGCTGACAAAACTGTATTGGAGCACTGGTCTTTCTTTGAATTAGGTTGTTTGTATCAAATGAGCATCACAAATGTTTTCCACAGAAGAAATAAAAAGATCATAATAAAACTTATTCTTTTGCATACCAGGGGAGGTTTCAGAAACCTACCTTGTCTTAAAAATTTGAAAACTTTGGAGTCTGTATAGGTAGGTGCCTTATATGTAGGTCATTGTCACCACACACACGTGAGCATGCACTCCTGCACTCTCCGCCTTCTATCCAGGGCAGTGAAATGGTAAATAAGGCAGTTCTGCTAAATGGCACGGGAAGCCGTGGCCCAATTTGGAATGACTTGGATCTACCAGGGTCAGATGAGATCTGCAGACTGCAGCTACTGTAAGAGTCCTGTTGTCATTTTTCTCCTTTTCATCATAAGCATCTTTCAGAGATTAATTACTTGGCCATTAAAAATGAATCCAAATCATACGTGCCAACATCATTTTGACACAATTTGGAGTGAGCTGCCTAGGACTTCCTGACAAGGTCGCATCATCATTTCTTTGAACTAGATTTGCAAAGAAAGGCAAAAATTTATCAGCCTCTTCTGCCCCTGCTACCTTCAGGAGGTAGGCGGGGAACAGGAGGGCTGCAAGTGATCACTTCCTCCTCTTAAGAAAGTGACCACCTTTTGACCATTCAGATCCCACACCGGGCAAGACTGGGATAGGCCTTTCATCTTCACATATGACAGGCCTCCACGAAACCATCCCTTGAAGCAGAAGGACCATTTGTTCAAGGAGAGTGCAGTTGGGATTCTGGCATTGGGTGGCATGCCAGAATACCCAGATAACCCACAGTTTTCTTCTAACTCACCGGTTTTGTGAGGGAACTCAAAATAATTCTAAATGTACATTTAAAAGGCCTTGGGTGTGTTTTCTGAAGAGTCAAGAAGGATTTTGTGGGCCCCCACCCATAACCCAGGGTAAAACAACATCCCTTCTGTAAAATGCAAAATTATACTTTGCTTTTTCCAGTAATTTATCTCATTTTCTCCCGATGTTCCTTTTAGGAAATCTCAAACTTTATCAGTCAGAGTGGTCCCAAAGCAGGCTGGCTTGGCTTGCTTGCCTGTATGGGGGTGTAGAGGCCTGGATCTAACCCGAGGTCAGCAAGCTGCAGGTGAGTGGAGACTGGGTGTTCTGCCCTCCATGTGGTAGAGCCCTTCTGCTCCCAGTCTGCCAGCTTCCTGCTGAGGGCTCCCAGGCCCTGCTGGGGAGGCCAAGGTCTCCTCCAGGATTTCTCTACAATCAGTAATATCATTTTAAAAATGAGCAAAGCCTTCTCCTACATCTTGATCTATTGCATTTGGCAACTGAAGTCAGTGCATTTTAGAGAGGGCCAGGGGTATGTAGGGGAGTGTGTGTGTGAGAATATTTAAGGCAAGACGTACAATCTTTAATTTGGGAGCGCCTTACCAAACATAATAATCTACCATTATCCTTTTGGCAACACCACAAAGATTGCATCTGTTAAACAGGTACAAGTTCACATGAGGTCAGTTTAATTGTACACGTGGTATCGGTGGTGTTTATGCTGTTAAGTCCAAACCTTTGTCTGTTATTCTTAATGTTTAATAAACTTTGAATTTTTTTCTTTCTCTCATGTATTGTTGTTGACAGTCTACTAGAAATTAGATTCGATTCCCACTTTTATCACAAAAAGACCATTTACAGAGGTTAATTACATAGATAATAGCATGATAGCACTATAGAATTCATAATAAATTAACACTTATTGAGTGCTTATATGCCAGATACTGTGCTAAACACTTACATGGACTGTTTAATCCATGTCAACCCTATGAGGTAGGGACAATTGTTATCCCCATTTTACAGAAGAGAAAATAGAAGGTTTGGGAGGTTAAGTAGCTTACCTAACATTACCTAGAAGTGACAGAGATGAATTCTGATCCATTGAATGGGCATCATTTAGAGGGCGGTTCCCAAAAACCAGTCCAAAGACTGTTTTCTAGGTGGAAGTCTAAGAATTGTCTGGGAGCATATTACAGGACTACAGACCTAGCAATACTGAGTTAGCAGATCTGGAGTGGGGCCCAGAAATTGAAATTTTTTGAAGACTCCCTGCTAACTCCCATGGGTGGCCAAGTAATTGGAGCCAAGGATTTATAGACTTGGCCTTACTTTGAGTTCCTGAGCTTTGGGGCATCTGCATAGAAGCTTCAAAACTTTCATAATTACCTGAAATTGTATGCAACTTTTTGTGTATAAACACATATATTCATTTTTCTGTAGAGGAGATCTATGGCTCTTTTTCCTCCCCCTAAAATAATCTGTGATGTAAGATAGAATAAAGACCCCTGATTTATAAGAAGGCTGATGGAGTGTGGTGGTTCCCAGCCCAGGCTGCCATTAGAGTCACCTGAGGAGCTCAAAACATTGGCACTGCGTGGGCCACAGCGCAGGCCAAGGAATTCAGCATCTCTGGCATGTGAGAAGGAGGTTCTGTGGTGAGGAGCTTGATGAAACTGGATTCAGAGCTGTCACTTAGCAGGTGTGTGACCTTGAGCAATCACTAAGCAATTTTGAACCTAAATCTCTTCATCTGTGAAATGAAGGTGTAATCTCCACCTCTGAGGGTTGTGGAGAGAACTAATGACATAACAAATGTCTAGTCTCTGGCACATGATACATCCTCAATAAATAACTGCCGTGAGGGCCCGGGGAGTAGAATGTGTGCCTGGAGCACTTTTCCCAGTTCAATATTTCAGACCGTTTTTTCCTTCAAAGAGGACAGAAAACAGTTCTGTTCAGAAGACAGAGCAGGGAGTAATGGTGTGGGAATGGGTGATGCCCTCACATAGATAATGTTTACATACTCTGACATCCGTAATAGATGATAGCTTTGTACACAGGTCAGTGGGCATCCATCCTCTTGGTGGCACCACCCAGTTTAGATTGAGCAGTTATAAGTTAGGGTTCAGCTCTACTTTTATCATCAAACACCTTTCTCCTCTCTTGGAAGAATAGGTACAATGGCCTTAACTTAAGATTCTCTTTGGGCAACTCATTTTATATTTGGTGTCTTCAAATCTCTTAGAAGAAATGACTGCTTCTGCATGCCTGAGGGACGTTGGACTCTAATATGGCAGGAACCAATATGAAGCCAAGCTGTGCAGACGCCCAGTCACTCACAAGCCCTCAGTCCACAGACCCATCACACGCTGCCCATGTGGGACAACTCTCCCATTTCACATTTAAGACATAACAAACCACCCAACCATCAAGCCCTTCTCTTCAAAGCCAAGAATTCCATTCCCTCTTTGAAGGTCATTGGCTTAGAAGTCTCTTTGGGCATCTTTAGTCAGGAACTGGGGAAGAATTTTTGAAATCTTGCCTCTGTGGTCCAGAGATGGCTTCTTGGTAGTAAATCAAAAGGACCTTTTATGGACGAAAGGCTGATGAAGAAGATGGTGAGCTTCCTCTGCCTCCCGGGCTTTGAGTCAGTGAGGACTTGGTCCAAAGGCCCCTCCCTCTGACTTCTTTTCATCCTACAAAGCCTGGCACAGTGCCTGGAAACCATAGAAAAATCTGATAATTACTGAGTCCCAAGCCTTGTACCTGCCACATCTTATTTAATTCTTACACCATGAAATAAGTACTATTATTATCCCTGGTTTGCAGATGAAGCAACAGGCTCACGGAAAATGAAGGAAGCAGAATTTAAACCCAGACACAAAGCCTGATTCCAGAGTTTGTGGTCTATACCAACTACTCCATGGCTTCTTTCATAAATGAGTTGCACAGCAAAGGCAAAAGGCATTGGCTGTGGTTAGGAGGGTGAGCCTGGAGCAGACAAACCTGGACTTGAATCCCAGCTCCGTCACTCACCATCTGTACGACTTTAGAAAATTCACCAAATCACCCCGAGCGTTATTTGTAAAATGGGCATAATAATACTCTCTTTATAGGGTTGTTAGTAGGATTAAGTGAGAGCATGCATGTAAAACACTTAGATCAATCCCCAGAGTATAATAGGAATTCAAAAAAGATTTGCTTTTTGTAATAATAGTAATTATTAATTTGCTTGATTTGATTTCACTAGTGATGTGTTAAGTTAGAGTCAGGCCATACATTGTATATTTTAGTGGATGCATTTTTATCCTGCAAATACTTGATTCAATAGCCACTGCTGGGTTTTGGCAACATCCCTGTTTTATGGATGAGTAAACAGGGGAGAGAGTCTGACCGCTTCATGAGCCAAATTATGTTTCTGAGATTGATTTTATATACATAAAATTCATGAAGCTTTACCAATTTTAAGCCAATTATGTTGCCTGTGATATTGTGGGGATTTTGGAGATCTTTACTTTAATGAATGTCCTGAATGTACTGAAAGACAGCCTTGCAGCACGAGAGGAGCCCCCTGCTCACACAGAGATGGAAAGTCATGGGTGATTCCTAAGAGTCTTCCTCTTAGCATCTGCCTTCAGGCCTGCCTCGGTCTCCCCTATCCCTACCTATCTCTGTCTCTATCTCTATCTCTATCAGTTCCTGCTAATCACCTGTAGACCGAGGCCCAGGCCCACACCATCCATGACAAGGGTAAGAAATACGTCAGCAGCTTACCAAACCATTTCTTTTCCTTCTGGATGTTCATCTAGATCACTTTTTCCAGCTCCCCTTGTATTTGATGTGGCCATATAACTGAATTCTGGCCACTGGAATAAGAGCAGAAGTGATCATGGCTGTCACTTCACCACTGGTCAATAAACATTGCCACATGATCCTCTCTCTCTTCTTCTTCTGGCTGCAACAGACAGCCTCAGGAAGGTGGAGACTAAGAAAGAAGGTACAGAGGTCCCTGAGTCACTGAACTGTTACATGAGGGACAAAAGTCTTCCCTGTATTAAATCTTTGAGATGCTGGGGTTGATTGTTGCAGTGGCCAGCCTCTCTGATCTGAGAACATTCTTCTGAAGTCCAGTCCTTATTTGAGGTCTTGACATCTTTGCCAAGCTCCTCCCCATGAGGGGAGTGGAGGATGGTTCCTGGTTGGAATGCAGGCTCATCAGCTCTCACATAGGTGACTTTGAGGTTTACCTACCTCCTGGACAGACCTTTCACGCTAGTTTGGCGCAGCCTGCTGGGTTGGGCCTTCAGATTATCACTGCCTGCATCTTGCCTTAGCTTGCCCTGCATTTGAACACTGTCCAGAGCTATCCAGTTGCCCTCGGGGGATGAGCCTCTACATCCAGGCCAGCTTTCCTAGTCTTCATCCCCTCCCCGAGTCCAAACTCTCCCCTGGCCTCTTGTTCTCACTTCCATCCCTCACCCTAGGTATTCAGAGACTCACCTAGAAATGAGGCCTAACATTTCTTAGAGCACTGATCTTCCCATTTTCTTACTCACATACTCCCTAAAATTCTTTTTAAACCATGAAGCCGCAATGCACATTATAAAGTTGACGTTTAAAATTTTTCATCACAAGTTTAAATAGTTGCAAAGGATGCAATAGCTGCTCTAAGTATTGGTGTTTTGAAATAAACCACTACATGCCTCTTTCTAATGTATCCAATGAACTATAGAAACCCTAGAGATTTGATACCAACATACATTTGAAAAATGCAGTTGGAATTTGTGCAGCCCTGCTTTTTTCCTCAGAATCGTTGTTTCCATTGTATTTTCCCTCCTTGAATTTGTTCCTCATGTCATATATTTTTGTGCTTGAAAGTCTTGTATTCACCCTCATCATATTTTTCAGCCATAAAACCGTATCTACAGACTGAGATTGTTATTTTTATTGTCTCTGAACATAAGGCTCAAAAAGTTTTTAAAGATTTTCTTTAGGTATGATTTACAGTCACCTTTATTACTACTATACAATTGATCAAAACCATATACATATATTACATTTTTGGGTAAATTTATTATGGACCTTAGAAAGCAAAACTTTAATGAAACTACAAATCTAGGGAGATGGATATGGGTGGTTGTGGTGCCTTGACAACGAAAGACTTTGCAGACAGCCAACTTCTGTCTGCAGAGACAGCCGACTTCATTGCCCCTTGGTGCCCCAGACTTCTTACACCGGAACTAGAGCCCTGAACTGTAGTAAGATTTAGGTTGGGTGGGAAGTACGCATATCTCTGGTAAAGTGGGAGGAGTATGATTGTGGAAGAGGAGGAAAGGAAAGGAGAAACAGCATGAGGCCTCAGCAACAAGCACTTTCTTAGGCAGATCAGTTTAAGAAAAAGTACCTAGAGAAGTCGAGGATCTAGAAATTCTCTTAAAATTTGCCTCCGCACCCATATCTCTTGGATATACTTTGTGTACCACTGGATGCATGGCTCCCCAAATCTGGAGATTATGCAGCCTCAAAGCAGGACATTTGAGTGGGGTGGATGGGGGTTAGGGAGCAGAAAGGTCATTTAGCCAAGTCTTACATTTTTAAAATGTGAGAATTTACATTTCAAATTAGGATGTTTGATTTGTCACCAAATGAATATACATTCACAGAGATAGAATGACAACTTTTTTGTAACTTTCTTTGGGCATTCTTCATCTTTTGAAGTATACTTTAAAATACATAAATTAGAACAGGCCCCAAATCTCCCTCAACCTCTGGGGGGAAGCAGGAAGGGTCTAGGGGGCTCACAGGGAAGGGGATGGTTGAGCTGAGTGAGGAAAAGCAGGAGTTTGTCAGGAAAAGATGTGGAGGGACATTCCAGGTAGCACAGACATGAGAGAGAATGGAGCCCTCCTAGGGGTGACAGCACTGTTGGATCATAGGGTATGAGGAGGAGAGTGATGGAAAATGAGGTATGGCCAGACCATCAGTGTCCTTGCATACCACTCCAAGGCCTTTGGTCTTTTTCATGATCAGGAGGATGACATAAGCAGATTCCTGTATTAGAAAGATTGCACTGGCAGCTATGTGGAAGATGGATTGCAAGGAATTAGGAAGAGTTGGAGGGTGAGGGATGTTCTACATTAGTCTCCAAATAAGGCTCTAAGCTTGAGATGGATGGATGGATTCAAGAGCTATTTAGGGAGTTGAATCCATGGGGTTTGGTGGAAGAGTCAAGGGCAGTCCTAAGGTTTCATTTACATGATCTCAGCTGATCAGTGTTTCCCAGCCAGGGATGCATAGCAGGCTCATCTGGGGAGCTTGTAAAAACACCTATGCCTATACCACCCTGAGACTTGCAGCCTCTGGTATGGAAGACTAGCCTGTTTTCCTTAGAAACTTCTCCCAGTTGAGTCTCCCCTGCACACCCCTGGTTGGACAGCACTGCACTGACCCTCTAAACACTCTGAGAAGGATGTGGATCAGAAATTGTAGCCTTCACCTTTCACTTAAAGAAACTAAGGCTCAAAGAGTTCTGAAATCAGAATTTCTGGAGCAGAACGTACAACTAGGAAATGGTAATGCCAGGGTTTATAGCCAAGCCTTTTGGACTCCAAACCCTTTACTCTTCCAGATATGCTGATCCTTGCCTACCTGCCTGTTCTCCTGTTCTGCTTGCCCACCTGGCTTAGAGAGTCCTGAGTGGGCCTGACGTGTTTATACTTGTGAACTCCACCTCCATCCACAGCTGCCCGAACCAGGACGGACACCTACCCCTAGAGAAGCCACTCCATCGAATCAGCTAAGAATCTGATCTAAGACTGGCTCTCAAACATTGCTGCCCATTTGAATCACCTAGGGAGCTTTAAAAAAGAAAATCCTGATGTCCAGGACATAAACCTTTATACTGATTGTATCAGAATCTGCTGGAGCGGGTGGAACCCAGGTATCAGTAGTTTAAAAATTCCCCAGGCCCTCCTGGCCCAGTGGTGTAGTGGTTAAGTTTGCATGCTCTGATTCAGCTGCCTGGGGTTTGTGGATTCCGATCCCAGGCACAGACCTACACACTGCTTATCAAGCCATGCTGTGGCCGTGTCCCACATGCAAAATAGAGGGAGATTGGCACAGATGTTAGCTCAGGGATAATCTTCCTCAAGCAAAAAGAGGAAGATTGGCAATGGATGTTAGTTCAGGGCCAATTTTCCTCGCACACACACACACACACACACACACATTCTCCAGGGAGTTCCAATTGCAGCTTGTGAATTGGTGACCTAAGTTCTTGCTACTCAAAGTGTGGTCCACAGATCAGCAGCATCAGCATTATCTGGGGGCTTGTTAGAAAGGCAGACTCTTGGGTCCCACTCCAGAGTTACTGAATCAGAATCAGTATTTTCATAAGATCTCCAGGTGATGCTTATGCACATTACAGTTTTCAAAGCATTCCTCCAAACAACATGGAGGGACTGAATGAATCAGTGGAGGAGGAATGCAAATTAGTAAAGGTCCTTGCAATTCTACAAAATCCTTGGACCTCTCTAATCCCTGCCCTTCCTCATATTTAATTGTTCAGCTTCCCTTGGATTCAATGTGATCTCTAGCATCATAATTACCCCCCACACCATCCCACCTTTGATTGGGCTAATTTGAGTTGGCTTCTATTTCTTGCAACCATGGGTGTCACAAGACACCTGCTTTTTAAAATTTCCTTTGGTCGGAATCAACCAAAGTGCCTTGCAAAGTGCTTCAACATAGTGGGAGCACTAAGTCATTGCTAGTTTTTTGGTGCATGGTCTCAAAAGATTTCCTTCTGAATGACAACTTTTTGGACAAAACTCACCAGAGATGAGGGGCTTGTGGCAAAGATCAAGCACTATTTTCCTCTTCCCCTTGGGCTTGGGGATGTGGTGTGGAAATAGCACAGGCTTTGGAGTTGAAATAACTGCATTCAAGCCCTGTCTCTGACATCTGTTGATTCAATAAACAAATATTTGTTGAGCATTTGCTATGGAGAAGCCCTTTTTAGCTGGTAACACTAAATCTTTCTGCGCCTCAGAGTCATTTAATGCCATTTTAATATTTTATTTGCATTAAGCAAGATAACATAAATAAAGCCCCTGTCAGCCTGGAGTATATTAGCCGCTCAACAAGTATTCGTTCCTTCCCTCACCCTGCCCAGGGCCCTCCTCCTCCGACGACCTTGCAGGAGATAAACAAGAAGTGCCTGGAAGGAGAGGCTCAGGATCAGGATTCTCTCTCTGGCCTTTGAAAATCAAATGACTAACACAAGGACGTGACAAAACATGATGAAACTGTTTAGCACTTTTGTCCCTGAGGCTAGATTTACTTGTAAAGTTTCTACCCTACCATGTTAGAGGAGAGGGAAGGGATTAAGAAAGGAATCTTGGAGCATCTCTCAACCATTACCCTTGTTTTAGGATGAGAAATCAAACATTTGCTGGTGGAGGCTGGATTCCATCCTAGGTTTGCAAACTCCCAGTCTAATGCTCATGCTGGAACATCAACCTTGCCCCCTGAGAACATCATCACATCTTTAATCTTCCACTCCAAGATAAATTGGTAGTGGAACATCATTGACTTTTGTACCCCATGATCACCACTAACTTCTGAGAGCCTTCCCAGATTAGCATAGACTTAAGTAAAACCAGGAAGCTTGCTTTGCTAATATGACTTCAAGTTCTTCTGGCTGTACCCCAGCTCCCCAAATAGATTTCAGCCCCTAAGCCACTTCTATCTGGAAATTCTGAAGCCATTACTGAAAATGAGTCCCAGGATGTAAAGAATTGGAGATCTATGCCTTTTAATATGAACCCACAGTCCCCAGCCAACTGGGAATTGTGCAATTTTCTGGGGAGTCGATGGCTTCCAGCATGAGTCACAAGGTCCAGCAACAATCCGGGTTTCTTCTCTAGTAATCAGTTCTGTCCTTTCTCTCGGCAGCCTCCTGTGACTTGAGAAGTGGGTGAGAGGAAGGAAAGAAAAGGGCTGGTCTCCTCGTGAACTTCTCATATGAGGAGGATGCACTCAGGGAGGAAAATCATTCCACCGCACATGATAAGAATCCTGACATGTCTGAACAGTGAGGACAGCTGAACGTTCCCTCATCTGTTTCTCATTTGGGCCTTTCAGCAGCCCTGAGAGGTGCTCAGGGTAGAACAAACAAGGAAACGGAGGGTTGATGGCAAGCCTTGTCCAAGTGCAGCAAGGAGTGGGCAGCCTGTGCTGCAGGGTGTGTTTTGACATCCCTGCAGACCCTCAGGGAGTATGTGCTGATCCCAGCCCATCACACGGGTCTCCTCAACACCCTGCAGACACACCCCGACTTTCTCAGCTATAATGAAAGAATTTTGAATAAATCTTAAAAACTAAATGCCTCTGACAGGGTGCTGACTCCCCAGCCTGCACCGTGGCGCTTCTCCACCCACCACCTCGGAGATCAAAGATTATGATTTGTGAGACAGCAGCCAGGGATCAGCTGATTTCATCTGGGATAGAACTGTCTTTCCTAAAAATGAATCTTCCCCACCCGTAACCTTATTCTCCTCTTCCTAACTTTTCTGTTCGTAGCTTTCAAGTCCAGAAAATGAGAGTCCTTTGACAAGGCTCCTTGGACGGCCTGGAGGCGCCCCTCCCTGTCTGCACCCCACCCCACCTCCTACCGGGGCAGCAGACCCCTTCACCCCTCCTTCAGGTCCCCCTGTTCCCCGCTGCCCTCCCAGAACTACAGAGGGAAGCGAACACACACAAAAGCCTCATGAAAAGCTACCTTGAAAAGACCAAAGTGCCTTTCTTTCTTTTGAGTGAAGATGAATCTCAGAAATAGAGAAAAAGTAATTTAAAAGAGGAGACAGGGGTGGGTGAGCAGAAAGGAGATGAGACTTCCCTTGGTCTCACAATTCTCAGTGGGAAGCTGGGATTTGAGCTATTTGTGCACAGAGATGGTCTTTCTCTTTCTCTCATTCCTTTTCTCCCTCTCCCTTGCTCCCTCCCACTCTCCCTTCTTTCTTTCATCCCTCAGGTGTGTGGTGGTGGAAGGGGGATGTGAGTGGGTGGATGTGGATGAGAGGTGGGAATGGCTATAGGGGAAGTGTGGATGGAGATTCAAGACCCCAGGCAGGTGGATGGGATAGGAAAAGCCCAGAGTTCCTAACCCCCTGATTGTGACCTGTAAACACCACAGTTGACTGTGTGAGTAGGAAGCCCAATTCCCATTCTCAGAAACCCACCCCAAGGCGGGCTTTTAGGACCATGCAATAACATTTGAGTCAGAGGATGTGAGATATTTCATCTGGTAAATCCTTCCATTTTTTCTGATGAGAACATTGTGGTCTGAAGAAGGAAAGTGACTTGCTGGATGTCGTGCACAGTTAAACACAATTACAGCAATCCCCTATTTCCCAGGTCAGGCTCTGTGCAACAGAACACCTTGTCTCCTCTTTTGTCGTTTTCCATGTAGACCCAAAGGGCAAAGATGATCTGATGCTTGTTTTGCAGATGGAGAAATGGAGGCATGAAGAATCTCATTACCTCAGTCCACTGTCTTCTAGGCCTAAGCATAGTCTTTAAGTATTCAAGTCCCACCCATTCTTCAAGACAAATTGAATTGTCACTTTTCCCATGAAATCTTCTCTAGTCTCCTAGTTTGAAGCAGTCACTCCCTCCTCTGAACCTCACCCCACTTCCAACCCAAGCTCTCCACCTGCCCCTCGCTTGCAATGGCTAATGTCCTACAATGCTACATTTGTTCACAATGTAGCCCCTTCACAAAGATGTCAGCATCTTTGAGGGCAGACACTGTACATTATAGACCTCAGCCAGGCCTAATTCTAATTAATTCAGTATGTGATCTTTATTCTTTAATATGTTTCTTTATTTTCATATTCTTTTTGTAAAGAATTTAAAAAAAAAAAAAAAAGGACCTGACCTTGGGACACTGTGATTCCATGAAGCCGTCCTTGCCTCATAGATCCTTCCCCTGAACAATGAAACTTAGCTCCTCTGGGAAGCATCCAGGGACAGACACATACCAAGGGCTGGGTGGCAAGATGGATCAGCCCTGGGCGTAGGCAATAAGAGGGGACATTGTCTGAAGTGATTTTTAAAATGATAACATGGAGCTAGCCCTCACGGCCTAGTGGATAAACTTTGGCACACTCTACTTTGGCAGCCCAGGTTCATTTCTTAGGTGTCTGTCAGTAGCCATGCTGTGGTGGTGGCTCACATAGAAGAACCAGAAGGACTTACAACTAGAATATACAACTATGTACTGGGGCTTTAGGGAGGAAAAAAAAATGAGAGAGGAAGATTGGCAACAGATGTTAGCTCAGGGCAAATCTTTCCCGGCAAAAAAAAAAAAAAAAGATAATATCAGTGTCCTCTAACTCAACCAATTTCTCTGTTTTTGCAGAAGAAAAATTTTTGAAGTTTTTATCTAATACAATAGAAATATGATGGATTTTCTGCTGAAGGTATTTTAGTGAACATTTTCAACTGTGGAGACTTTGGAAAGCTGCTAGACTAGATCCTGAAAGGATAAAAAGACGTGGGCAGTATTGCAATTTCTAGGATTTATTGAGAAACGGGATATTTTATGTATCTCTGCCAAACTTGCCCACATGTAAGTATGAAAATTCCTATTTGTAAACTTGTTGCTTTGTAAGAAAGAAAATTTCAAAATTAAAATTAATAAAAAATTCTTCAAGGAACTATGAGTGAAGATGACAAATCTGCCTGCACTGTCTACTGAACTTGAATATGCAAAGAAGATCAATTTTGACAAAATCATTGACAACTTTACAGAGGTTAAGGCATGAACATAGAATTTGTAATCTTATTATTCATTTTGCAACAGACCAATATGCAGGTATACATTTTTTTCCTTTAAAAGAAAATACTTTAATGTAATTAAAAAGTATTAATCTACCACTTTTTTCCTTTTTCACTATATTTATTTATTTTTGTTACTGACATGATTATGTATATGACAGTCAATAAAAGAAAAATTTCATAGTTTTCTGG